AAATTAATTAAAAAAAAAAAGAAGATAGGGACCCACAGAGAGAGCCTCTCCTGGTCAGGCAATTTAGATCAGTCCCGGTGACTGCGTGGGGACTTCGCTCTATTTGCAGCTATGTTAGGGAAAGGAACCATTAAGCATTTCTGAACACTTCAGATGTGGTGTTTCTTAAACAGACACCTGTAGGAGGTGAGAAGCATTCAGGCAAAGAACAAACAACCCTTCAGGCAGGCAGACCTGGGTTTCAGTGCTGCTTCTGCACTTGTCCAGCTGTGTGACCTTGGACAAGTTACTCAACCTCTCTGGGCTTCATTGTCCTTGAGCTTTGTTTGAGTTTGTTGTTGCTGCCCTTACCGTGAGGGTGCCCGGTGCACACGCATCAGACTCCTCCAGCAGGAGACGGCCGTCACTGTGTGTGGGGTGTGGGCCCAGGGATGCCAGGCGCCTGCCGAGTATTCTACTCTGTCTCAGCGGTCAGCGGGCCCTATACATCTGGCCACAGGATGGTGTCTCCCCTGCGCTTGGTGCTCATCACTCAGTGCCAGGTTTATGCAGGGTGGTGGTATATCTTGGCATGCCTGGTCCAGCCTGGCTTAGGCAGGGCCTGGGCCTCTGGGCCTCAGGGGAGGCATGCACCTTTTCCATGCTCCTGCCCTGGACGCCCCCTCTGTGGCAGTCAGACTCCACCTTGTCTCTGTGGTGGGTCTTGGGCAAGGAAGTTTCCCATTCCCCTGCAGGGTAGCTGACCTCTGACCTTGCTTTGTATAGGTGTAGACCCTGGGGTTGCTGCCCCTCCTCCAGGCCTTTTGCTGGCCCCTGGGGCCATGGATCTGTGGCTGGGCCCTGAGGGAGAGGGTTCCTACCCCCCCTAGAAGCAGAAGTGTTTGCTTCTTCCTTCCCTCCCCCAGGGTTCCTGGTCTCGAGTGGGTTTGCTACGCCTCCCCCAGCGGCTTCAGGCTTCCACTTCCCATGAAAGAAGGGTCTGGAGAAGCGAGGAGCATTGCACATCTATCCATCCTGTGCATTGTCTCCAGAGAAGCAACAGAGGCCAGTGGAGGAGAGCGTGTGAGCGTGAGCATTCCCTGCGTCTGGGCCTCCCAGGCATGCTAGCCTCACATGCCAGCCCACACTTGTCCTGGACGAATCTATTAACATTTTAGCTGATTTCTGCCCGAGCTCTGCCAGGCGTGAGAGCTGGGGTGTCTGGCTCTCTTGGAGACTTGGGGCTCCTTGGCTTTCAGTCCCCTCGGCTCCCTAGAGCCTCAGCTCTCTGATTGGCTCAAGCACGGTTCCGATTTGGTAGATATTTGGCTTTCTCTTGTTGTTAGGATGGGAGTGGCGTTCTCAGGCAGCTTTCCCCATCACAGGAGTGGATCCCAAAGTCAGATATTTTTAAGTGTTCAGAAGGTAGTTACTACTCTGCGTTTGAAGGGGACATTTCAGGAAGGTCACGATCTGCCACCGTGACGTGGAAATTTACTTGCTTTCAACTCATTCACAAACCACTAGAATTTTGCCTGGGTTTCATGCCCGGCTCACAGGCCTGTAATTTCAGAATACACTCTCATGGTGCCCATTTCCAGTCCTCTTGATGCCTCTCTGGTCCCCAGAGCCCCCACCAGCCTCCATCCTGCACCCAATCTTTAGGCTCTGTCAGTGTTCTGGGGTGTGACAATCTACCAGGGGCTTCCATTTCCCACCCACTCAATTCCGTGTACTCCTGGCAGCATTCATTCTGCCTTTCATGGTGCAGAGAGGATTTCTGTGGTCCTGCCTTGACTTTAATTGTACCACAAGATTTAATTAGGAGGTGGTCCATCTCTGCCCCTTCTGCTGGACCAGGAGACACCATTGTTGTCCCTGTGGTTTTGTAAATGTCCTCACTCCCATGCATCAGGTGTTTACCGCATCCTCAAGCACTCACACCCTTCTTTGTATTTACCCTTGATAACACGGCCTTCCTCCCCCGTGTCGCTAACACAGGAGTGCAGGAGAGCCCTCCACAGCCCACTTCCTCTTGTACGGCCGCATCTTGCTCTGCTTCCCGAAAGCCTTTCATGAGGAATGGGATTACAATACGGCTTCGTGCCCTCTCTCCCTCTTCATTTTTAAAGGGTCTTACCATTGTCTGATCAGTCTTTTGTGAGTTTTTTAGGACTTTCAGCAAACATTTCTAGAGCACCTGCCATGTGCCAGCCCCTTTGTGAGATGTTCAACATTTAAAGACGCATCTCAGACGACCTTCAGAGAGCTTCAGGACCAGGCAGGGAGATGTCACCTGCAGAGGTGGCTTCAGCACAAGGTAGAGAAGAGCGCCAGTCATCTGTCCCCTGGGTTTGGGAGAATTTTCCTGGAGAGAGACAGGTGGCAGGGCCTCCTCCTGTTTGGGGGTGCTTACTGCCCTTGGTGATGGTGAAGTCTCTCTGAGACCACGTGGTCACTTTCCCAAGCTCTCTTGCTTCCACACAGGGGCCTCTTGGAGCCATCCTTGTAACTTCCTGCAAATCTACAATTCTTTTGAAGTAAAAAGTTGAAAACATTAATCAAGAATATTGTCCCAAACTAAACCTTTTTCCCTTCTCGGGGCCTGGAACATTCCCTGTCTCTTCCCCACCACTCAGTGCTTCATTTCCGGAATTTCAAATAGAGATGGTAGAGTCTCTCATCATTGCCTTTGGGAAACCCAGAGGCCAGAAGCGCTGGCCAAGGTCAAGACCCACAGGAAGGAGGGGACACAGCTCCCCATGGCGTGTCCTGGAGGCTGGTGCCCCACCAGTTCTGAGGGGCTCTAAAAACCAACTCGGAAGTAAGTTACCCCTCTTCTTAGCTCCCCAAAAGCCCTCAGTCATCAAAAGTGGCTCATGTAGGAGGCTGGAGTCACTTTGCTCTATCCGTGCTGGTGTGGTCTGGATTGCATCCTGTGACATCAGACGAGACCAGCCCAAAGCCAGAGGCTTCCCTCCAGTTTCCCAAATGCCTCCCTTTCCGGCTGGTGGGGAGGTAACGCTGGCCCCTTGGGGGCCGCGCACCATGGCTGTGAGCACAGCGGCGGAAGGTGGCGGCGCCTGGCCGGGTGGTGGCAGAACTCAGGCGCCCGTGAGAAGGAGGAATGAGTCTGGCTGGGCTTCCCCGGGGCCGAGGTGGACCAGGGCTTTGATTTGCATTTCCTCCCAGAGTGTCCTTATATACTGCGGCTCAGGCTCTGTGACTAATCACAACATTTAATGGTCTTCAACTGCTCACTAAGGGCCCAATTCAATTTAAAAATGTCCTGCAGAAGCCATGAATAATCCTCTCGTCTTTGCTGTTCGTCTTATGGAGGCTTCCATCAAGTGGAGGCCGAATGGGTTTTTTTTCTTTTTCAATTTTTTTTATTTTTATCGATGTGGGCCTCGGACCCCTGCCGACGTGAGCGCTGGCCTTCCCTAGCTTCCATCCGCTTCTCGGGGGTGCCGCGGGAGACCCCGCTGGGCTCTTACCCTCACCCTGGGACTGATTTCTGCTTCTTTGCCAGTTTGACCGACTGTGGAGCGAGATGCCAGTCAATGCCAAGGGCAGGCTGAAGTACCTGGACTTCCTTAGCATGTTCAGCTCCGAGAGAGCAGCAACACCGCCGACCGCTGGCAGTTCGGTCAAGGCCCAAAGAGGCAGCAGTGTTCCCGAAGTCCTGGACGGAAGCAGGTCTGCAGCATCATCACCCACTCACGACCTGAAGGCAGGGTTGAAACCTCCGAGCCACCCCTGTGTGAGTCCTTCTCTCCATAGTGCCACCATCACCGGGGCCCCAAAGCCCCAAACCCCATTGGACCGGAGGGGACCTAGAGTTCCCAAGGGGCAGGTGACTGAGAAGGTGGCCCGGGTAGAGCCTGGGGTGGGGACACAGGAGAGGAGCCCACAGGTGGGTCCTTAGCACTCACCTGCCTGGAGCAGGGAGGGAGGAGGTGTGAGGAAGGGTTGGGTGGAAGGGAGGCGTGGGGGTTGGAAGGAGGAATAAGGAGGCTTCGGGGCGGGAAATGGGTACAGGAGCAGGGGCAGAAGACTCTAGATGTCAGCAAGCTAGGGTTTCATCGGGCAGGAAAGCAAATGCGCTGTGGTCGGTAGGCACTGTGTGCGAGGGTCCAACTGTGTGCCCTGCTGTAAAGTGTTGCACCCATTTTACAGTTGAAGATACTGAGGCTCTAAGAGGTGTCCTCACATTAGACACAGAGAGACCTAATTTCAAACCGAGGCCTGTCTAACTTTGCAGCTCTGCCCCCGGGCTGAGCCGCCCAGCTTGGGGTATAGGAAGGAGGCAGGCCTCTCTGAGGCTCTTGCCTCATCCGCAGGAAGGATGACAGTGTCTCCAGGGAAGGGGGCTTGAGAGGATCCCAGCCATGTTCTTAGGGCAGCCATTGCTGGGCTTTGTGCATGATGAGCACTTGGAGACAGGAGTTACCATTTGTTCATTCAGTCAACACACGTTTACTGCACACCTACTCTGTGCTGGGTCTTTTCTAGAGCTGAGAATGAACAAGGTGCCTGCCCTTGTGGAGTTTACATTCTTGTCAGAAATAATGGCCAAGAAACAGTAAACAATAAGTATTTAGCAAGTTGGAGATAGTGAGTAGAGCAGAATGAAGGGGGGGTCAGGAGTACCCCAGAGATGTCCACGTCCTAATCTCCGGGACCTATAACATGTCACTTTACATGGCAACGGAGAATCAAGGTTGCAGATGGAATTAAAGGTGCTCACCAGCTGACTTAAGACAGGATCATTCTGAAGTGGCCAGGAGGGCCCAAGGCAACCACAAGGGTCTGTAAATGGGGAAGGCAGAGGCAGAAGGGTCAGTGCCAGAGAGACGCCATTTGAGAAGGGCCCACCTGATGCTACTGACTTGGAAGGTTCAGGAAGGGACCATAAGCTAAGGAGTGTGGGCACCTGTAGATGCTGGAAAAGGTAAGAAATGGATTCTCCCTTAGAACCTCAGAAAGAGCTCAGTCCTGCTGACACCCTGATTTTAGCTCAGTGGGACCCATTTCAGGCTTCTGACCTCCAGAACTGTAAGAGAAATACCGTGTGCTGTTTTAAGCCACCAAGTCTGTAGATCTGTTATGGCAGCCATAGGAAACACGCTGGGGGCGGGGGGGAGCGGGGGGAGCGGGCAGGGGGCCCAGCAAGGACTGGGGCTTTCACTCCCAGTGGGATGGAGCCCTTGTAGGTGTTTATGCAGAGGAGTGATATGGGCAGCATGCCTCCTTTAAAAGACTCCTGTGGATTCTGTTTGTTGAATAGAAGCTATGGGTGGAGTGGGTGCTGGAAGGGCGGGCAGAAGCAAGGAGATGGGGAGGAGGCTGCAATGGTCCAGGGGAGAGGCCTGGTGGCTCTGAGCGAGGTGGGCAGTGGGGAGCCGGTGGCCAGAGGTCAGGTGCTGGATGTGTCTTTGAGGTAAAGCCAACAGGATTTCCCAATGGATTAGATGTCAGGTTGAGAGAGAGAGAGTCCAGGATGGCTTCTAAGGTTTTGGCCTGAGGATCTGGAAGAAGGGTGTTATATCAACCCAGATGGGGAAGGCTCAGGCAGCACAGGATTCAGGAGAAAGAGCAGGAATTCAGTTGAGTTGGTTACTGTAGTAGATAACCATAGGACGTGTTCAGGGGAAATGCCTGGGCTACATTCAATTCATTCCCTGTATTTAAATGGAAAATACAGTAAGACCAAGAACAGCCTCATACTTGGTCCACGTAACTTCACAATATTGGACATTCTGGAACTGAGTGCAGGATTAGACATCCATGAAAATGACACATGACTCACTTTCTTTGATAAGACTCTTCCTCGGGTGAAAAATATGTTATTGTCACACACACACACACATAGTAATATGTTTAAATAACATCTCCTTATACTTAAGTCTTGGCTATATATTTATCTCCAAAACTATGTTGGTTATTGTGTTTAGGCACAAATACGGCCGGCTGATGGAAGTGAAAAATCAAGTGGCAGAATTACCACCCATTTCTTGCTCTTCATTTATTTCTGAGCGAATACTGCCTGAGAAGTTGTGAACCCCAAACCTGAGCCCTGCCTGTAATTTTGCATTATCACTTCCATTTTGAATCTCGCATTACAAGACAATTTCCGTTCCTTTCTCGCTAGACCCCCGCTAGTGCCGGCTCGGCCCTGGGCCCCCTGCCCTTGCAGAACTGCGAGCCCATAGAGAGCAAGCTCCGGAAGAAAATCCAGGGCTGCTGGCGAGAGCTCCTGAAAGAATGCAAAGAGAAGGATGTGAACAAGCAGGGCGAGGTCACCACGGCTGAATTCCTGGGTGCGTTCTCATAAGAGTGTCACCTGCTGGCACAAGGCCACCACCCCACCCCACCCCACCCCCCGTGTGGCAGGCTGGGCCCGTCCATAAACGCTGCCTAGCAGGACAAGAATTCCTAAGACACCTCAACCCACCGCAGCGCACATTCGCACCAGCATGACCAAGCCCACAAGCCGTGGCGTTCTCAGCATTAGAAATCATGGACTTGGTTGTGGTCTCTGGGCGGCATGAAATGTTCACAGACTTGGAGAGCTCAGGGAAGTGGGACAGGTGGGGGAGGGCTGTGGCTGGGGACACGCCGGCCCACCCACTGCATCGGCTCCACTCTGTTGATCTGGTACTAACCACGTGTCGCTTTGATAAGCTGTTCAGATGACATCTGCTGGGTTTATACTTCCACTCATGGTTGCGTATTATTTATGCAGCATTTTACATTACAGGAAGGTAAATCTACCCTTGAAACCCTTCCTCTTGACCAATCTTTAGATCCCTTTTTAAGGAAAATGTTTTTCTCAAGAACCTCCAATATTAATATAAATCACTTCTATGATAGTCATGGCTTAAAAATGTGCAGACGAAACAAGGTGTAAACTCTTTAAGTGAACAGCTCCTACAAAAAATAACCATGTATAAATTAAATATAAAAGATGAAATCAATAATGATCAAGCATTGTTCCATTGATTTAACATGACATGTGTCTCTGAGACCAAATCAGCAATGTTGGTCTTAATGCGTGTTTGAGTTCCATTTGGTTTTTAGTTAATTCTTTTGATTTTGAGACTGATGAACCTTAGCTTGTCTTGCATTCACCATCGCCGTGTTTAATTTTTACCCAGGAAGAATTAATGGACTGGTGCATTATCTGGAGCAGTCCATTATCCTGCTCAGCCTGTCTAGCTTCAGTAGTACATCCAAAATTCAATACTGTAAAAAATATATGCTTATTGATTTTCGGAAGTCATTCTGCATGTTCTGTGCCCTGCTGATGACCTTCTGCAAGTCGGAACAGTGAAGGCATTTTTCGGGCCACCCCTGTAGGCTCCCCAGCCCAGCCCCATCCTGTCGCACGTGTCCTGTTTGGCACCACGTTCTGCTGTTTCCCCCAGCAGCATTTTGGCCTGTGCTTGGTTTGAAGCCACCATCTACATATATAAGGTCCACTTGCAGTGCTTTTCCTCCAGCCTCAACAAGTAGCATGGTCCTCCACTCCGCGACACTTTGTTGCTTTCGTGAGGTCAATGGAGGGCTCAGTTTATTCAGTGTAAATTCAAATCTTTTTTTTTTTAATTTTATTTATTTATTTGCGAGAGAGAGAATGAGAGACAGAGAGCATGAGAGGGAGGAGGGTCAGAGGGAGAAGCAGACTCCCCGCCGAGTGGGGAGCCCGACGCGGGACTCGATCCCGGGACTCCAGGATCATGACCTGAGCCGAAGGCAGTCGCTTAACCAACTGAGCCACCCAGGCGCCCTCAGTGTAAACTCAAATCTTATCCTACCTAAGTCTCTTTCAATTAGGAGTTGTCACTCCAGAAGAAGCTTTAGCTTTCTAACTGGTAAAGGGTCGAGCAGGGGCGCTAGTGCAAAGTGGGAACGACTGCTGATATTCTGCCACCGACAGGTGCTGCCAACGTGGCATTGACATGATCCTAACCCCAAAGCCACACGCAAACCCTGAAACTGCACGGCACTTGTCTCCTAAAGATGGTCCAAGTATTCTAGAATAGGCTTTATATATTTTAGGTTGTTACTGGAATGAAGACTCAAAATGTGTAAATTCCTGTAGGCTGGCACACTCTTGAGAGTTGAGAAATACGTGGTCAGAGAGCCATGGCTGAACCCCCGCCCCCCAGTGGGGCACCTGCCAGGCCCATGCCGCAGCACGTGGAACCTCCCCTTCTCCCCACGTCCCCAGCGCGGCCCTGACTCTGAGCCTTTGCTAGGACAGCTCCCGACCTTGTATGGGGAACACACCGACCCTGACTCCGACTCTGTCCCTCCCTGCTCCTCAGTACGGCTTCCACGGTGCTCTGTCCACACTGCTGGGACCGCAGCAGCGGCAGCTGCAAAACCCGAGGGCAGGCCAACATCAGGACAGTGAGGTCCCAGCAGGATGCGGGGGACCCCTGTGTCCTCGCCGCATGGAGTGTCTGTCCAGCCACACCCACCATGAGCCTGTGAGCAAGGACCCAGCCAGGGCCCAAAGCAGAGAGAGCATCTCGGCAGGAGATGAATCAGTGCGGGCATGAACAAATGAATGAGTGAGCAAATTGCCACCAGCTGAACCCATGTTTCTGTCTTTAGCTCTTGTGGAGAAGTTCAGTCTGGACATAAGCAAAGAGGAATGTCAGCAGCTTGTCGTGAAGTACGATTTAAAGAACAACGGGAGGTTTGCTTACTGTGACTTCATTCAGAGCTGTGTCCTCCTGCTGAAAGCGAAGGAAACCTCCCTGATGCAGAGAATGAAAATTCAGAATGTGCATAAAATGGTACGCAGTCACTCTCAGGAAATGTGGGGGTCTGGGGCCAAAGGTTTCTCACCTCTCTCAATTCATTGTAAATTCGGATCATCTGGCTTCATAGAAATGAGGGACACAGTGGACATGGAGACTCTAGGAGGGGCCACTGGCCAGGAAGGACCCACCTGTCACATGTCCCCGGTCTCACTGCCACCTCCCCGCGGACCCCGAAAATTGGCTCAGATTTTGTCTATACACATATATGTGCGTATCACACATGTGTGGTACACATGATAACTGTATCACATGTGCATGATTCTAAATCTGGACACGTATGATAGGTGTGTCTAAGTACCTGTGCGATGTGTGCATGTGGGCGTACATATTGCACTCGTGGTATGCGCGTGTACGTGCATGATAGATACACGTATGTATACACACTTGTGCGATGTGTGCGTGCACAAGCAGGATGCGTGTGTATAGATACACTTGTCAAGCGATCCTTTGTTGTCCCGTCTTCTCCGTTACATAAAGGCCTGTATAGAACCAGCACTTTCCAGGCGAGCACATGACCCCCAGGGTCTGCTCAGTGGGCCCAAAGCCAGCTAGCTGGTGGGTTCTTCAGGGAGGCAAGAGGCGCAGGTAAAGGCTTTGAGAACATCGCAAACAGCTCAAAATTGCCTTTCTTGGAAATGATTCCGAGATTTTCTTTCTCTCCGTCCGGGGCCCCATAAGGGCCTAGAGACCCAAGACAGGACAGTAGCCTGGCTCTCGGCTTCTCGGACTCCCGTGGGTGGCAGACGCGGGATGACGGTAGCCCCTCCCCCAGCACGCAGAGACACCTGTTTGGCCAACAAGAGCAGTGTGGCTGCGCGCACTATGCCTGGGGAGCAGCAATCAGCCGGTTCGCGGAAAAGGCGAAGCTGGGTCGGGGGTCACAGCAGAGTGAAACATTTTTAATGTAAACATCAGTGTGTGTTCATTCATCAAACAGCTGAGGCAGGCCAGACCCTTTCTTCCGGGTTGGGAGCGGGCGGTAGTTGGAGACTCATTATCTTTCTTGCTTACACTGTACCCACAATGCATTGTCTACAATTTCCTTTTTGTTTTTTTGAAGAGCAATGAGAACCTAAAGATGCGTAAATAGCAGTTGGAGGGCACTGTCCTGGGTTTTTACCTTTTTTCTCAATTATTTGTCAATTCTGCGATTCTCACCCATACCCAGTCCAACCGGTATTTTCACTGACTTGCCTTCCTCCAGTCTCTCTGAAACATGAAGCAAAAAAAAACAAAAACAAAAACCAACTTTTTCCTGCTCCTATTCCCTCATCTGTGATAATTAGAGAAAAAGTACCACTGGCACTGTCGACTTGGAGGACAAACAGCTGATTCCAGCCACCTCGGGCCTCGGCTGCAGGGACTGGGGTGCCAGGCCGACCCGGACTGCCCCAGCCGGTCCCCGCCAGTCCCCGCCGCACCCGGCAGCCGCAAGGTCACGATGGGTCAACCCAGCAAACAGTTGATCCCATGCAGAAAGTTTCTATGCCGCTAAATTTGTATGTAATTTTGTGCAAACTCAGGTCTCGTCTTTGTGTAGTTTCTGCTTTAGACAAGAGCTGGCATTGGAGGCTTAGGCCAAGTTATGGAAGAAAAACCTAAGGCTAAGACAGTTGTTTCTCTAGCTCAGTTTTTCTGTGAGTAGAGAACAGGCGGTCTTCCTTAGATCTTCAGGGGACCCAGGAGCATAGGAGAGAACAATGGAAACCGCACAGCCTGCAAGGCCCCTGCCAGCTCTGGCCTTCCTCTGCCTCTCCGGGCCTCAGTTTCCCCTCTTGTAAACGAGGGGGAGATCTGCTGTGTTCTAAGGCCCGTGAAAGGTGACCCCTTCTGAGCCCTCCCCTGTGCAGAGACTGCACATCCACACCGAGGGGCCGAAAAGCTGGCTCGTAGGCTCCTGAGATTGTGTTCAGTGACGGGACAGGTGCTTCAAGACGGCCCCACTGGGAGGTAGCCCAGCACACTTCCCGTGTGCTCTGTCTCACGCCTCACCCCCCCAGCTCTGGACGTTACACCCAGACGGACTTCAGCTGCCACTCTGTGCTTCGGAAAGAGTCCTGCCTTCCCCCACATCCCTACCCTGGGTGCAGTGATAGGCGGGAGACTTCTCCCCAGGAGCCTTTCCTAGGAAAGCGTGGGGCCAATGCCTCCAGAAGGCCTGCCCTCCCTGGTCCTGGTCCGTGTTCCAGTCCCATCCCTCCTACAGGCTGCCAAGGCCCCCACCACACAAGTGAGGAGCTCAGGCCAACTGTCTCCCCTCAGAGAAGCTCAAAGGGCCATTTCTTTTTCTAGTTCTTTGGGGGCCTTCTCTGCAACCTTTGACAGTGGAGACAGCCCTCTGGGGAAGCCACATGGGACTCTGCTTTCCGGCCACACCCGAGCTGGAGGCAGAGGCCTTCAGGGTGGGGATGGGTCGGTTGTCCTGAGCTAGGATGGGAAAAGCCTTTCTCGGGCCAGGCGTGGGTGTGGGAAGAGCCAGGAAGCATAGAATCCTTTCTTTCTCGAGTGCCGACCAGCAAATTGGGTAAATCGGTAGCTAATTGAAGCTATAGGGTATCTGGTGAGTTTCCATCATAGGTGCTGAATGATGGAAAAATTGAAAGCAATTTAACTTTGCACTAATTTGTTTTATGTAATGCCATGTTAAAATTAAACTTTCCCAAAATGTGTTACACATTATTGCCTACAGTTCACCTCTGTGATATTCAGACATGCGTTAGGGCGAAATCATGCTAAAATACGTTTTCAATCTAACAGCACCTAAACGAAATAATCACAGTGTAGTGTACTAATGACAAGATATAATTACAACCTTGTGATTTTTAAAAAAAAAAAACTCTGTTCATTATCATAACCAACTTAGAAGACCCAAACTGAAATCTCTTTTTACTGCAAACTATTTTGCAATCGGCCAGCTATCTCTCCCTGGCCCTCTCTCTCCTCCATAACCTGGGAGGAGCAGAGCCCGGATCCGTCCTGATCCTGCCACTTCACTTCCCTGAGCAGCCCATCTCCTAGTCTGTGAAATGGGGATCAACGGGGCCACCTTCCTCCCAGGTTAGGGGAGAGGGACGGGGAGTAAGTGACGTGTAATGAACAGCAGGGTTGGTGATCTGCCATTATTGTTATGAGTCCTGCTTGCAGGCCCCGTTCTACAGTGGAGGGGGCCAGGGGAGCCCTGAGCAGGGGCAAAAATAGGACTAAGGCCCTCGAGGCGAGCTCACAGCCGCTGGGCTGTGCCTGTCTACCCCGTGCTACCCATTCAAAAGCTCCGTTCTCACCCCTTCTTGGTTTTGTGTGTGTGTTTTTTTTTCCCAGAAAGAATCTGGTGCTGAGACTTCTTCCTTTTATTCAGCTTTACTGCGTATTCAGCCCAAAATTGTGCACTGCTGGAGGCCGATGCGGCGTACCTTCAAAGCCTACGATGAGGGCGGGACGGGGCTTTTAAGCGTGGCTGATTTCAGGAAGGTGAGCTCAGCTCTTGGCTGTCTGTTGCATCTGAACAGGGAGCAGTGGCCAAATGCCAGTGGCCAGAAGACCTCAAAAGAGGACCCCTCACCTCCCTGGCAAAGGCCCAGGTGTGAGCAGATGTCTGAGACCCCATTTCCTTGGGGCCCCCAGGTTATCACATGCCCCTCACCTTCAGACCCCAGGTTCTCCTCCCTGAAGGTTTCTAGAACCCTGGGGGGGACACAACCTGAGCCCTCCGGGTACCACCATAGGTGCCACTGGTCCTGGGAGCCCAGGCTGGGCCCGTGGTCTCCATGGCGGAGCCAGGGCCAGTGTCCACCTCACAAGACCCCCAGATCAGGAGCTAAATAAAGCAGGGTCCCAGCTATGGGACCTCAGCCAGCAGAAGCCGGCTCCTCTCCCCCAGCTACCCTCCCTGTGGCGCCAGCCACCTCCCCACAGCAGCTGGCCCGGCCACGCTCCCTGCAGTGTGAACTCTGGTACCTCTGATGCGCCCACGAGAGTGTGCGGCACCCTGAGGACGCAGGGTCTACGGGGCGCCCTCACCGTGGGCAGGCTGGTGACTGCAGGCGCATCCTTCCCAGACCGAAGAAATGGGCCTCCCTCAACTACCACTTTCCGAATCACATAGAACTCGTTGACTTGGCAGATTCTGGCCCCCACTCCCTACCTACCCCTTTCTCCACCCCTGCCCAGCCACTGAGGTTGAGAAAGTAATTGAGGTCCGACCATTCGATTTGAAATCACATGTTGTAGTCAGGGAAAACACTCCGTCAAAATATCGAAGGGACAAAGGGTTATGACCTCAAAATGCACCTACAAAAAATGTATTCTTGAGGTTCATCTCTGCTTCAACTAAAACAAATTTAAAAAGTAAAACCCTCTCCTTTCAAGTCAGGAAGATGAGCAATAGCTGGTGGATGGGCGCTGGGGCTGCAGGAGGGAGGAGGGGATGTCCCAGCAGCCCCCGGGGACACCTGTGCTCAGGCCCCGCCCCCCCCGCCAGTGGCTTTCTAGCTCACACTGTTTGTCTTTACTTTGGACTCAAGTCAACTCTCAGCCCGGAGTTCTCCTTCCGTCTCCAGGCAAAGAGGTGAAGAGAGCAGGGTCCTGTCTGCATCCCAGGAATTTGGAGTGGGTGGCAGAGGGAGGGGAGTACTCGAAAGGCAGACGTGGCCTCAACAGAGCCAGAGTCAGAGACCAGCTGGGTGCCAGGAACACCCAGGCTCAGCCTCCATGGTGGGGCCCATCATCCCCCTGCCCGGAGGAACCTCGGGCTCTTCCAGCCCCGCATTCTAGTCTCCTGTTAGAAACAAATTATAACACAAAGCATAGACAGGAAATCTATAACTTAATCTTCACTTTTACTTGTGAGGGAACCTATTAGGTTCCGTCTCAGCTGCAGGTAACAGGAGGGACCCAGCAGCTGAAACGCGGTGGAAGTCTGTTTCTCTGTCACATAAAAGAGGCTGCGGAGTAGGAAGCCAGAGCTGGTGTGCTGGGCAGTTACTGGGGACTCCATTGTTCTCACTCTACCATCCGCGGCACCTGGCTTTTTTCCACGAGGTCACCTCGTGGTCTGTGGTGGCTGCTGGGGCCCCAGCATCACTTCCATATTCCCAGCAGCAAAAAGAAAAAGAGGAGAGGAGAAGGGGCAGGCACCTTTTCTTTAGAGGAGCCTTCCCAGAAGTCCCCCATCACATTCTCACTGAGGTTTAACTGGCTAGAACATACCCAGCTCCAAGAGAGGCTGAGAAGTGTAGCCTTTTAGCTGGACACACAGCAGCCGGGTGAAGACCAGGGGTCTGCTCACTGAGGAGGAAGGGGAGCCGCTGCCGGGCGGGCAGCCAGCTCTGCCTCGGGCTGTGTTACCGGCAGATCAACCACACCCGGCGCCCTGCACCTGCTGTCCTGCCCTCCTCCCAGGTGGGCTGCACCCAGAGGCCCCAGCCTCGTTAAGGCCCTGTGGCCTCCCTCCTAGCCCTCTACTTTCTGTCTCTCCACCTTGTCTGAACGTGATGACCAGCCTCACTACCCTGCAGGGAGGTGACGGCTGTTAACCTCCTGTTCCGGGAGGGGGTTGGGGAGAACCAGCAGCTTCCATTGGACTGGGAGAGTCTCCAATTTCATACCCATAGTGCATGCTCTGGCCCTTGGCGGGGTGAGGGCAGAGGAGAGAGGAGGCAGGAAGGAAGGAGGGAAGGGATGTGCGGTGTGGGGAGAGGGCTGCGGGGCAGCTTTGGAGGTGGGATGTTCGGGCTCAGTGGAGGAGAGGTGGGCAGCCTGGCCCACCTGGCAGCCTGCCTCCTTGAATGGCACCAAGACCAGCGGGGGCTCTGTCTGGCAGGTCCTGAGACAGTACAGCATCAACCTCTCGGAGGAGGAGTTCTTCCACATCCTGGAGTATTATGACAAGACGCTGTCTTCCAAAATCTCCTACAACGACTTCCTTCGGGCCTTCCTGCAGTAGGTGACGGCCGTGGTGCATCCGGCGCGGACCGACGGGGACCACAGGGCCTGTCCCTAAGACGAACGAAATCACAGAACCGGGGTGGGGGGTGGGGGAGGGTCACAGCCGGCCCTGTGTCTTTCCCGGCGGTGAAGGCTCAGAGTTGCCCCACAGCTCCGACAACAGGTGCCTCTGCTGGCGGCTTCGGGGACCCTGAGCCACCAGACCCTTCACTCAGCTGGAGCAAATAAAACTGTACGCCTTTGCAGGAGTGATTCTTAAGGCTTCAAAAGAACCACCAATGATAAAATTCTTAAAACCTTGGGATTTCTGGAGGTTTTATTCGTAAGAGCCTGGGGGACCTGGAAGGCCTTCCGCCGTCCTGGATGAGATCGGTGCCTCTGCTGGGCTTGTCCGCACGGCCACCTCTCTGACCCTAGAGACCAGGCACCAGCCCATGTCTGAGTCAGGCCTTGGTCCAGCCCAGCTGGTGGCTGACTGGAGGGACCCCTCCTTGGACACGACAGTGTCTGACAAGCAAAGAGAACTTTTAAATCCCTGCAATCCTCGCCACCTTTCGTGAAGCAAGTGGAAGGGAGACAGAGTTTGCTGCCTTCTGGAAGGTTCTGGAAGGAAGTAGGGAGAGGCAGCCGGGATAGCTGCCCCTGAGTTGTGTGGCCACAGGCTGTCAGGGAGGGGTGAGCGCAAGGAGCCCCCATCGTCACCCCACCCCAGGTGGCTCCAGCGGAGAAGCAGCGCCAAAGCCCCCTGGGCCAAGAGCCCTCCCACCCCTGTGCGGGGCCCACGTAGGCCACGGCCTGAAGCGCCCCGAGTGCGGGGAGGCTTCGGGCTCCGAAGCGCGTGAGGTGTGGGAAGAGGAGCCTCGGCCGCCACGGGCCCCTCTTCCCATGAAGATGTTTTACCGTCACCTTTGTCTCCTTGTGTGCAGGGTTCCAGCCTCAGTCCAGATGGGACCCCAGGCTGAGAGGGGTGGGCTCACGGGGAGGCTTCGAGCCAGGAGGAGGCCACCTCTGCTGGCCGCTCGCCCGGCTCCGCTCCGGCTCAGCCGCAGGTCGCCCCTGCTCCCCAGGTCGGAATCTGCCGTCCCGCGTCGTCTTCTGTCAGCTGCATGGCATGTGGTTTTCTTCTGAACTCCACCTAAGCCGGGTTGTCTGCACTCGGTGCAGTTGTGACTTGCTGTCAGCCGGGTCGTACGGGTCTGAGGACCTCACCGAGATGGCGCCTAAAGAAACACACAGGACTTCGTTTTCCTCTGAAGGAGGCCCCAGCCACCAGGAGGACGGCTTCGCAGGGGCCTGGGCAGGGCCCTTGGATTCTCCTCCCCTTACCTGCGGTCTTCACGGAGTTCTCAGGAAGCAGGGGCCAGAGCTAATTGTCCTGTGGGCACTCCGTCCCACTGGCCACACGCCTGGCAAGCTGGAGTTCCTACCCCCATTGTAGAGATGGCGACACTGAGGCCAATCCTGAGGGAGGGAGGGAAGCCCTGTGGGAAGCGCAGGCAGCAGTGGGTGGCTTCCTGCCCCTCGGTCGGACTTCCCCAGCCTGGCAAGGGGGCATCAAGGATGAGGCTGAGGGGCTCTGGCCAGGGCAGGGCTGGGGGGCCCCAAGATCCCAGAGAACCTGGGGAGGAAGATGCCTGCCTGCTGCAGAGGAAGGGGTGCTCAGGCAGCCTGAGTTCAGGGAGCAGGAGAGAGAGGGCTGCCTGTGGCCCCCGCTGACGCCAAGTGGGTGCCATGTAGCTGGGATGCCCTTGGCCTCAGCAGCTCTTCTTAGGAGTGAGGGGCGAGTGGAGGCCCTTCCCACGTGCCCATGCCCCTGCCCCAGCATTTGAGGCCCTGCCTGTGTGCCCAGCCCTCCCGCCCCGTGTGCCCACCTTCAGCCTTCCCCGAGCAGACTCTCGTACATCCTCACACTCTGCACCTGCTGTTCCTCCCACCTACTCCTCAGGAAATGCTGACGTGTCCTTCAGATCTCATCTCAGAGTCACATCCTGCAGAAAGCCTTCCCGACACCCAAGGCTGAGTCAGACATTTAGTCTCATGCTGTTCAGTGGCCTTTGGGTCTGTCAATGAGGGGTTTGGAGAAGACTCCAGGTCAAGAAGGGGCTTCAAGAAGCAAATAGCTCATCCTGACACAACACGGGACTCAGTGTGTGGTCACGACCGGCCAAGGCCAGGCAAGCACTCAGGCAGCATTTTCAGAGTGGCTTTGGTGTTAGTGCGACTGGGTTCGAATTCCAGCTCTACCATGAGACCCGGCCAGGTCACTTACCCCATCTGAGCCTCAGTTTCCACATCTGTAAATGGGGCTCAATCCCAACTCAGAGAACATTGGAGAGCCAAGTGGAAAGAGCTAGCACAGAGCTTGGCTCCAGGAAGTGCCCACATCTCTTCTCCTTCTCAGGCCAGTGTGAGTTGTCCCTGGGCTTGGCTCAGCGGTGGGGTTTCTTGGGAGTTAGCAGAGCTTCCAAGCTGAGGGTTGCAGGTGAGTGGGCTATTAGCCATCCCCTCCCTTAACCCCAGAAACATAGGCCAGCCACTTTCCTGATGCCTGGAACCTTCATGCCTGAGTCAGAAGAACAGTGCTGGACTGAGGGTTGGGATGTCCAGCCTCCCCCTGCTCATCCCCTGGCCCCTGTGCAACTTACCCGTTTACCTATATGGACTAAGCCCCTATTTCTGTATCAGCAAAATGAAGTTATATAACCCCTCTCTGCCTTCCTCCTGGAACCATCCATTCATGGCTCCAGCCAGCCAGCCAGCCCACTCTGCCTGGTCCAGGGTTCAAACACAGACTTGCCCCCTAGAGCTTCCAAGACAGTAGGTCGCAAACAATCGAAAGAGAGGAGGGTCAAGGCTCTGGTGGGGGAAGCCCTCGGTCTATGGGAGCCCAAGGAGCCCCAGCCCTAAGCTCAAAGCCTGGACCTGGACCTCAGGACAGGATTTCAGCAAGAGGTTGAGGAGAGGTGTACTCCAGAGCCTTCAGAGTCAAAGCCAGGAGGCTGAGAGGCCTGGGCTACTACCTAAAGATGAGTAAGTCCCAGTTGGGACTGCCAACCCCTCCTTCTCTTTCCTGGGCCTTGTATCCCAATCAAGTGTCTTCAGCTTTGGGCAGCCTTCCCTGAGCCACACTCAGCTGAGTGCGAATCCCATCATGTTAAAAGGTTCAAGTCCACATCTCTCCACCTCCAGTGGAGCTCCTCATATCAGAACAAATGGCCCCGTTCATCTCACCTTCACGTATCCATGCCCCTTGTATCTGATCTTGGAGTTCCTGTCTCTGAAGAGGTGATGTCCATTTCCCCACTCCTTGAATTCAAACTCAGCCATGTAACTTGTTTTGGCCAATGAGCTATTGGCTAACAAGCATGACACAGCAGAGACTTGAGAAGCACCTGTGGTTTTTGGCTTCTTGGAGGCAGAGAGCTGGAAAGAACATCACTCCTACCTGTATGACAGGACAAATGCAAAGTAATGACTTTTCTTAAATCCATCTGAGAATGGAGTCCACCACAAACAACTTACCAAAATCTGGGGGGAGCCAGGTACCTGCAGGGAGCAGCAGACCCAAGCATTTGCTTACCTGGAATAGTCACCCCCAAACATCAGATAAGCCAGTCAGAGGATTCAGCTGGAAAATTCTAACAAATTGCTAAAGGCTAGCCTGAGAATGTGAATGCTCTGGGGGCTGTTGGCATAAGGGTGTCTGCATCCTTCAGGAACCCCACCGGGAGCTCACAGAGGTCAGGGAGAATCCAGAGAAAGCTTCCCCCCTCCTGTTTCCCCAGTGCTGCTGGCTGGAAGAAGAGAGCAACAGCCACTGCTGACACTCTGCCAGAACCCATCTCCCATCTCTTAGAGGGAGCAGGAATGGTTATATGCAGAAGGATGACAAAGCTGTAGCCTGAGGGCACTAATTGGAACCCAGTGCAGGTGAAGGAGCAGAACATGAAAATAAAAGGCTCTTCTCCTGGAGAGGCAGAAATACAGGCTAAGCCTGCAGTACATCTGCATGAGGAGCAAAATTGTCAGAATCAACTTTTTCAAAATTCTAGAAATTAACCAAATGTTTATACAGGAACCCAAGAAGCATTTTATCAAGAAAAGCAGCTGAATTTTAGAAAAAAAAAAAGAGCAAGCTTTGTGACATTTCAACTTGTTCTAGTCCAAAGAGCCACTCTCCAGCTCCACGATAGCTTTGAAAAATAACAGTCTGCACTCCCACTGCACAGTGGCAGTTACTAAAGGAAATAGAATAGAGCTGGAGCGCTTTCAAAGCCTCACTCCCAAAGAATTATCATTTTCACCTGCCTAGTGATTCCCTGGAGGGCCCCATTTGCAAGACTGTCTGTATTTGAACTGACTCAGAGATTCCTCAGGTACAAAAAATCTTTTCCCCAGGGTACAGAGGGTACATTTGTCAAAAACAATTACAAACAAGTATTTTAATTTTGTGGCTGCTTGAGGTAGTGGGTAACAGTTGGGCCAACCAATTTAAGATAGCTTAAAAGGAAGAGTTGGGAAATAAGATGTTCATAGAGACTTTGAAAAGTTCCCAAGATTTCTGGGGAATCTAGAAGTCCATGTATGTGCCTAGGGCTGGCACATGCCCAGGGATGTGTGCATGCTCAGAAAAGATATGAGAAGGCCCTAAGCTCTCACCTTTGATTGACCTTAAGACTGCACTAGCAGGAAATAAAAGCTAAGGCAGAGTTTCAGGTACCTGGCTCAGTGCTGAAGCTATGACTCGACATGCACACAGAGCTCATCAGCAAAGACTGAAGCAGAAAAGTTCCAAATGTTTAAGGAAATCTGTGTCTGATCATTAGCTGACCACTAAGCTAACTGAGAAGAGACTTCACTGGCCACACAGGACAAAGAATATAGACTTTAGAGTATTAGTTCAGAAAAGGAACTAAACAAACAATAACTACAACAAGCAACAATAACAACAAACCTTTGGAGGGGGGAGAGTCTTATTTCCAAAGTTGCCACATTATATTATTTAAAATGTCCATTGCATAATAACAAATTATCAAACATAAACAGAAATAAGAAAGGGGGCACCCGGGTGGCTCAGTCGGTTAAGAATCCAACTCCTGGTTTCAGCTCAGGTCATGATCTCAGGGCCCTGAAATCGAGCCGTGTCAGGCTCAGTGCTCAGTGTGGAGTCTGCTTGTCCCTCTCTCTCTCTGTTCCCCTCACTGCTCTCTCTCATAAATAAATAAAACCTTAAAAAAAAAAAAAAGAA